TCAAGGCCAGCCAGGGCTACATAGTGAGACCCTGTCTGAAAAAGACACAAACTCTGTACAAGAGCATGATGGTATTGGACAGTGCTAACCACTTGGTTTATAAATTTGTGTTATGGTATAATATTTTACAGGAAGCTGAGTGAAGGGTATATGAGGATTGCATTGATTTTTAAAGTGTTGTTTGGTGCACGTTAGATATACATTTTTTTCTTTTGGTACCACGGATCAAACTCATGTCCTTGCACTTGCAAGGCAGGTACAGTGCCACTGAGCTAAATCCCTGGCCCCCATGATGTGATGTCTTCTTAAGCGCATGCTTTTGCTGGCCTTTCTGTATTGCAGACATCCTCATGATGAGCATGGCATCCAGAAGCTTTGGGGCCATGCAGGGGCTGAGGTCACAGAGGACCCATCCTGCAGGGACTCACTTCTGCTACATTGATGCCTCTGGCGCTGGACAGAAACACGGAGGGTGGGTGGCAAGTGGTGGTGGCCTGGGGCTGGCCCCTCCTGTCAGCGAGTGCCCAAGTCTGGCAGGACCCATCGACTGGCAAGCTCAGACTGAATGAGGCAAGGACTGAGGGGCCTGGGATGTCTGCCCATGGACTTCCTCTGAAGCTGCCGATGCCAGGCCTGTTTCCTGCTGCCTGGGCAGAAGAGTGAGCTTGGATGTAGGGCTTGCAGGCCTTGGAGGAAATGCGAGCTTGGTGGACAGGAAGGTTAGACTTGTGCAGTCTCCCCGACACACCCACGGAGGAGCTGACACAGTGCAGAGGGCATGTGAGGGCTTACTGGTGGACTAGTGCATGGCTCAGGAAGAAGGGGCTGAGAGAAGGCCCGGGGACACTTTCAGGTGGCCTCGCTTCTCATTGTCCCGTTGTGACTGCCTGCTCCTGACAGACCTTGGTCTCAAGCCTGGCCCGATGCTCTCAGGGAGCTTGCAGCGGCCCCAGCTGAGAAAGTGCTAGCTGCAGATCAGGCAACAAAGGTGAAGAGAGAGATGATGAGAGGGGCACCCCAGCAAGCACCGAGCCCTCTGTGGAACCGGGCTTGGGGGCAGCAGTGGAGCTCTGAGGTGACATGACCTGATGTGTGTGGAGGGGTCCTGTGCGGTGACCCAGCAGAATGCGTGGGGCATGGAGGCCCAAGACCAGGTGCTTCCTGCGGTTCCTGTGCTTCCTTGTGGCTCTGCCGGAGTCTGGACTCTGTCGCTTTGAACTAAACCCACCTCAAACCAGCTTCCCTCGCTGGGGATTTGGCTCAGTGGTTCCGGTGCCTGCCTCATCAAGCACAAGGACCCGAGTTCAATCCCCAGTACCAC